GCCCCATGCACAGGTCAGTGAGGGCCAACATGGCCAGGAAGTAGAACATGGGCTGGTGCAGACTCGGCTCAGTCCAGATCACGTGGAGCACCACGCAGTTTCCCAGGAACACCATGGCATAGATGGAGGAGAAAGGGATGGAGAGCCAGAGATAGTCCCCTTCGAGGCCAGGAAAGCCAGTGAGAATAAAACTGGAACTACTGAAGTTGGAGATAAAGATAGAAGACATTAATAGAGAATTAAGAGTATTTTGAGAAAGATATCATAAATTACACAGGTTTGTGATTCCCTAATTTCTAGTAATGTTAATCTGGTTTTGTGAATAAAATAAAATATAACACAATTTCCATAAATGTAATAAACTCAGAAAATAGAGATCTGATTTTTTATCCGTTAGGGCAAAAACATGTTGTATAGACATGGAATTTCCAGTGCCTGTGACTCGGGATCTTGGAAGATTAGGGACTTTGATGCAAAAACAACAATGTTAATGGGCACGTGGGATTTATATTAATGGGTAAACTTCTGGGAACTCTGTTCTTTCCTAAAGGAAGACTACGTGTGATCACAGATATATACAACTTGCTATCATGGCTGGAATCACCCTCAGGGGAATGTTAAATGCACAGGTAATTTTTGTCTTTGCTGCTGCAGCTGTTCCTTTTATTTCCTACTGGGTGTCATAAGATCCCAAGGGAAAAGTACTATTTAAATGGGTGTCATAAGATCCCAAGGGAAAAGTACTATTTAAAGTAGCCTAACTTTGTAGAAGATAAAGATTAGCCAAGATAAACTAAACAAAGTACAATCGGAATTTTTTTGCACATTTCATAGTGTTTAGCTCCTCTCTAAATTATTTACCTATTTAAATTTTAAAATTTTACTTTATTTTTCCTTTCTTTCTTTCTTTCTCTCTCTCTCTTTCTTTCTTTCTTACAAATGAAACATAATTGATTGTATATACCTGTGAGGTACAGTGCTGAATATCATTACCTATGTGCAATATGTGATTCTCAAATCAGGATAATTAGTTTATTCAACCTTATATGTCGTAATCATTTTTTGTATCCCTTTACCAATTTCTCTATTTTTATGTACCTCTTTATTCTGTATGAGATTACTTCCTCTCTGAACTTCGCAATATTATTTCTTCATATAACATTTATATATTAGAGAACATAATTGGCATGTACTTTATACCAGGAAATCCTAAAAAAAATTTTGATAGTATTTATTTTTTTAAGACTATGTCAGCTATTCACAGGTCGAATAAAATCAATTGATTAAGCTTATCAATTGTTATGCTTAACAAGTTTTTTATTATAACAAAATAGTCCTAGCCTCCTATAGATCTATATCCACAGCTGAATACTTTGAGCACCTCTCTTATATTAAGTACATAAAGCACCATGACAGGAGTTTCTTTGCTTAAAAGAGTCTATGAATTATTAAAGCTTATAGGAATAATTTTAGGATTTCAGAGTGTAAATGGAGTTCTATAGAAGTTTACCAATATGATTTGTATAGTTGGGTAATTGAAAACTATTTCTACTTTTAG